TCTGTCTGACAATGAAAATCTGTTGTATTGTAAAATTCGTTATATCAAAATTCGTTGTAGAAAGAGTTGACTGTAGATGCAATGATAGGTGAAAGTTTAGCATTATTTTTCCTTCTCCATAGTGCTCTTCAATCAATTTAATTATTTTAATTAATTTATAATAGACTTTTTTCATATAATTAACCTCCACAATTCATCTACCTAAAATTGTACACACTCTTATGAAATACATAAGAATTTTCTGATCTTTATCCAGAAGATGATCCCATAACACAACGGTGGCATATATTATAAAAAAATTTTGCCACTGATTAGCGGTAAAATTAGAGAATCCTTCACCACAATGGATTTTACCAGGAATTCGACTCAAATCTGATGGTACCTTGAATTTATTCATTTTCTTCTGAATTGATTAGAGATCTTTTTCCGTTAATACACCTTTATCAATCCATATTCATTTTGTTAACCACTTAGCAATTCCTAAATAAAGGCAGTGCATCAGATTAATGATAACAAAACAAATCGGATTAAAATATAACAGCTGCAGTAGTTCAGACCATCTTACACTATGCTTCTTAACAAATCTATCTCTTTCTGCTTTAGATTTACATCACTGCAATTCTAGAGCATTTTGCTAATGTTTGCCTTGATCTTTCATAACAAACCATTCATTCATATTCACTATTCCACTAAAGTTATATTGTTTATTAGCCTTTTTTTCACATCAATAATATGATGTAAGGGCAGAGATGTGTCCGCATAATTTATAAGCTGCGAAAATATCACACGAAACAATTATTAATGCAGCTTGAATATCTTTACCATCTGGACACTCATTGATGTAATTAATAATCATGCCTTTCCAAAGTGACTCTAATTCTGTAATTATAGGCGAAAGGTAATAGTTTATTTTATGTAAGCTAACCTCGTTAGGTCCTGATAATATATTAAGTATAAGCTTATTTTCTGGCTTAAATTGAACATCATAAAGTAGATTACATATTACTATGTATATTATGCCTGTACTATATGTCGTCCCTTCATATGGCTGGAACCAGTCCAAATTCATCATTAATCCATGAGTATCAGCCACTTCAGGTCAAAAAAAATTTATTTAACCCTTGTTCAGACGATTCCTTAAGATTTTGCCATATTTGCCTATCGTAAATATCTAATAAAACATTATTAATTGTTGAACGATGAGCTTAATGCCATAATAATTCTTCAAATCCTAGTCGTCTGAACATACTAGAAATTTGTTGTTGTATAATTGAGACAGGATATACTAATTCAGGAACAATTGATATATTATTATTTAAAGAAATCTTCTTTCCTAAGGGAGTTTGACATTGCTTTGATCCCTTTGTAGTCGAATTTGGAAATTCAATATGGCTGCACTTTCTAATAGTATTATTGTTCTTTGACATTATCTCATATTTTTTGCATAATTTGTGGCATTTTTGACAAGCTACAAATTGCGTAAATCGATCAATAAGGCCTAATGATTTTCTTAACTTATATAATGAATTTGAAAATGATTCGTGATCGATACTTTTATAATCTTTCAAAACTATTTTAATAAATTTAATTAAGTCATCAATTGCGGTATTAGATATGTTATAACTCGACCTGAACTTCATAATCCACATCAAAATCCTCTTAATTAGTTCATCTTTTGGTAATTCTGAAGCATCAGGTGTATCAAAATCAAAAATAGGATGTGAATAATTCTCGAATATATTTAAAAATTATTGTCGTCATTAGATAGATCTTTTTGTACTGAAGATTTGCTAGTGTTGTTATTGTCTATGTCATATTCGGTTGACACAATGTTATTAGAATTTTCAGAATTTACCTCTACTTGCTCAATTTCAGTAATAGAACGAAACGTGTTCGTTTTTTCCTTCTTTATGTGGGAGAAATGTTAAATTTTGTTCTTCGTGTATATTATTATCAGATATATGTGATGAATTTGTATCACTCGACATTATCGTATCTTGCGATTTTACTGGCGATATTGTTGTATCTTGTGATTCTACTAACAATATTATCAAATTAAGCATTTCTACTAACACTTATGATATTAGAGTCTCATTAACAGATAAAGATCATAAAGATGTTGATCACTCTTTGTGTGCTTCTTTTGTATGCAGATCGACTGATTTTCCTTTACATTTGCTGCAAAAATACTGAACCTTTGCTCTTGGTTTTCTGGTCATAAATTCGTCATTTTTAGTTAGAATTTGATTAGGACTCAGATTGTTATATTTGTCTAATATATAATCGGCAGTGCGTTTTCTTCCCTTTTTCGCATTTTTTTTTGATAAAAAATTGTTAAATCAATTAAACTGGATAAAGTTATAGTTTATCTTGTTTTTATGATAAACAAAGTTACATTGACTTTTATGTATTTTTTTATATTTTAAATTAATAATATAATATCAAAAACATTGTTTTACTGATTTATGCGAGTTTAATTTTACTAATAAAGTTATATATGGAGATGAATGCACTTAATGATATTTAACTTTGTTGATTTACTGATATTTGACTTTGATTTATTTAATTGATATTAATACATTTATATTGATTTGATATATATCATATCATTTGATTTTAAGAGAAATATTATTTTGATTTGATTTGATCGTTAATAATTGAATCCAATTGATATAAAGTTTAAAAATAGTATAAAAATAGATATAAAAGATGGATGGATTTTCTCATCTTATACAAAGAAATATTCTCTTTCTTTTTAAAAAATATAAATGTCTCACAGAAAACCTTCATCAAAATATTC